GCTCTTTTTGGAGTTTTATTTTTCTATCATACATAGTAGTAAGTGACAATGGCCATCAAGATACAAAAATGAAGGCTTTCAAAGAACAAACCTATTCCTTAATTAGAAGGATACAATAATAAAATTTCTATGTGAAAAAAATCTTAAAGTATTCAGATCTACCTCCATAGATCTGAATACTTTATGGATTACCGCAAAGTGTATAAGTTCTGCACAATTTAAATAGTTTTATTATATTAAGAAAAGAAACATTTATTAACAACAAAACTATATCTTATCTGTTAAGGAAATATTTTCCCATAATGGCTTTTAGATAAAATAGTACACACTAGCTTTTCACTAAAGATACATGACCATTACCAATTGAAATCTGAGGATTGAATCTGTTTCCTAAGATCTACCCTTATAAGGAGAATCAACCAGGAGAAAGATAATCTGAGGGCTTAATATTATTTTAGATAAACAATTTGTGTATTGTACATGATCATACACTTTTTATTCAGTTTTTTTTTAAAAATTTATTTATATTTTAGTACCAGATAAATTATAAATATCATAAAGCTAGAAAAATGTTCATATTCTAGAAAAACACAAACATAAAATTTGTGTCTGAACCATTTCTACATCCTGCATAGTTTCTTAACAGTGGGCCCTTAATCAATAGTAAAAGAAAAGTCCACTTGAATACTTATCTTCCTTGTTGTAAATATATCTCCTCCAAAATCCCACTTTTCCTTGAAGTTACCATTGTTTTTCCTGCATTTAAAATGTAGCCAAACATTCAGAAAGAAATCTACATTCTTCTCTACTTCCTTACTTTTCACATAACCAACTACCATCTGGTTTCTATCATATAGGGTGTTCAAGACATGCCCCATAATTGCCATCTAATTGCAAGTTGATATTCTTTGATGCTCTCTACTCTTTTGACTTTGAGGAATCTACTCTTTGATAATTACTCTGCACTTTCTATTTTTGTTGATTTCTCCATATCTTTTTTCTCTTCATCATAATATGCCACACAGCCTGTGTTCTATTCTCAACAATCTTCACCTTTTCCTTTCAGATCTGTTCTCTGACTGTGCCAGTCCTCTTTCAAGAAATGTGTTCAGTAATTAGCCCTATAAAATCACTGCACTTTTTTTTCAAAATACTGTGAAAATATCAGTTCGTCTATAAAGTCTTTTTTCCCCTCTCAGTTGATCTCTCTATTCAGTTGTTTTCCCATAACACTTTGGTGATATATATATTATAACAACTGTCAAACGGTATTTTGATTTTTTAAAAAACCCCATTTATCTAATCAAATGAATATTAAATTCTTCAAAAGTGAAAATCACTTTGGGATTAGTACAGAATAAAAAAGGCAGCAGAACGTAGGAGCGATAACCAGGACATGGACTTAAGAATCAAGCAGAGGTTTCAGGCACCCATCACTTCCTAGGATATAACCTCTGTGGTATTATCAGTGAAATGGGTATAACAATTAATAATAAAAATTACATAATATTCTAATTGTATACATACAATGTTTAAAATACTTAACACAGTGCTGTCACAAAGTATTTGCTAAACCAGTTTAACTGTTAATCATTCCCCTTTCAAATTTAACCAGGGTCTCACTCATCACAGGTTCCCAGTACATATTTGGTGAATGAATTAATGAATGCATGATAACAGAATGTAATTATCTCTTTTATACTTCTTTTAAGATTTAAGTTGATTTGAGGAATTCAGTAAGCTTTACTCCTGAAATCAGAATAAATTTTAGGGCATAGAAAACCAAGGCACAGACAAAATTTTCATAAAGCCAAATGCAAACAGAGATGTAGATAGAGATACAGAAAGTAAGAGGTGTTTGCTCCAAGCCCCTCCAATTAACATATTTTACTGACTGTGTTTATCAGATAAGCTGATTATGACCTTAGAAGGCCAGTTGCCCCTGATGATACTTGGTAAGAGTGTGATGTGGAAGAGAACAGTATTGCGGGCCACTATGCCCATGAGCGATATATTCTGGTGACATGGGCAGCCTCTGAACAGGCCATGGTCCTGAGGCTTACTTGTGGGGAGAAGGCAGGGTGAGCCTGAAATGTCATGTGTGCTTTGCCTGGGAATAGCAAGAGAGGAACAAGGTTAAAGAAGGCTGGGCCCCAGAGCAGGCATTGCCAGTGTCCTAAAAATGAAGCAATGAAAGTACCTACATTAATGCTTGGCCAAGGATCACCCTGGATTTCCTAACTGAAATATTCAGGAATCCATTGTCCTTTCCTTCAGTTGCACTGCCAAGGTTCAGGCCCTCACCACCTTTCACCTGAAGTGCTGCCATACCTTTTGATAGGTGGTCCTCCCTGATTTCAAGGGCTTTCCTCCACATGTCAACAAAGGTCTCCTTCAAAATCAAACTCCTTCAGCTCAAGCCTCTGCCTCAGATCTCATTGGCTAATTATTCTTTAAAGGATCCTATGGAATCCCTTACTCATGGCATAAATTGGATTCCAGTTTATCTTTCTAGTTTTATTGCCTCACAACCCTCCATCTGCCAACTCTATAGTCATTCTTAATTCTAGCTATATTAAACCATCCCTAGCCATTAAGTCTCCTACATGTGTCTTTGCTTATGTTATTCTTTTTCCCCCAGAATGTTCTTCCCAACCTCACTGAACTACATCAGGTGCATGAACAAAAGGTTGCCTTCCCTGGAAAGTCTTCCATGTTCCCATGTCCCATTTTGAGTGAGTCACTTGCCCTGTTAAGATTTCACTGTGGGGTGTTTTTTTATTACTGTGTTCACAATTACATTATTATAGATTAATTACTTGCTTATAAATTCCTAACCCCTCTAATTAGTGAGTTCCTTGATGCCTAGGGTTTAATTTCATCTTCACTTATCTAGGATTGAGCACACTTTCAGGGTCTTATAAATATTTGCTGAAAACCTGGAGGAATGTAGGGTAGAGGCAGGGCAAAGGTAGGACTAAAGAAGGGTTGTCTGTCTTCAACTGCATAAGCTGCTAAACTTGAGTATGAACTGAGAAATGAATCAATTTCTTGAAATAGTTTATGTACATTTTATAGACTAAAATTTAAAGTGGTATTTATGGATGTGTTTTATTTAAAAATATTGGTTTAACACATTCAAATATCTTCCAGAAAAAAAATAATATCCAATTTTCCTATGCAATTATTTTAATAACTTCCAATATTTTCCCAACTATTGTATAAAGAATCACATTTTCTTGAATAAAAACAGACCTTTTTGAATAAAACTGCAGAGTTTTGGTAAGGAGACATCTGAATTTAAATACCATTGTGCTTTAAAACTATTATTAAGTACTCTGAGACACCACCATGGGGCTAACTTTGGGTGCCTATCAGGGTTTCTACTTGCAACATTGGGTCTTAAGGAGTGTGTCAGATATGATCCCACCTCTAAAGCTCAAATACACAATTAAAAGATAACTTGCACTGTAATGAATGTTGATAGTTTCCTCAAAAGTGGTCCTTGAAATTTCTCAGAGGAAATGAGTTTGCTATGACAAACTGAATTGAGAAAGTCTGATTTCAACTATTCAGAAACAAAATTTCTAGAATTTTTAGCAGGTACATTTTTTCTGTATAGAAGTCTTATTGATTAAGGTAAGATCATTTCTAGTAAAATTTTGGGATACAAAATAAGGTATTTTTCATCAGTACTTGAAGTGAAAAGTCAGTTACTAAATAAGAACTACCACTCCAAATATGGTATATAGCGATAGAGTCTAAAAATACCTGCTTCTATACTTCTCTAGTTCAAAGCACTAGTCTAACTAATATATTTCATTAGACAGTTTCATGAACTTGTTCATTCCCTCCATTACATTTCTAGGCTTTCTGACTATGGTGCATACAACTGTCGGTGAGCGAAGCACAGGTTAAGTGTGTATGACACAGATGAGCCTGGGGATTAAGTATACACTGAAATGCACGTGGATGTTCATGATTTAAGCCAATGGACTGTGGCCTGAAATGATGTCACACGAAGTGGAGCGGTAAGTGGAAGGTTAAACCTACTTGCATCTCGGCTCATTAAACGCAGTTAAAGTGCAAATCCCCTCATTCTGACAGTAGTGATCACAAGGGTTCTCTTTCTGGTCACAGCGCTGACTTTTAAACCCCACAGAGCATCTGCAGAATTTCAGTAAAATACAGCCAAATAAAGCATCTGACTTGGTATTTTTTGTTAATATGTTTCAAATTTACTTCATACAGAATATGTGATTAACATTGTTCTCAGGTATGCTCACTTCTCTCTCATACAAACTCATCACATGCTATTCTGCGAGGTGGGTCTTATGTGGGCATTACCCTTCTGGCAGGGATAAAGGAAAACTCAAAGTAGAGGACACATAAGTTGAATAGTTTTATTTCAAGTTGTCCATTCTGGACCATTAGTTATTTGAGAGGAGGAAATATTAAATTCCAGATTTTCTTAAAGCAGAGAATCTCCAATACTTTCCAAACATTTAGAAACCCAGGTTCAAATTAATGTATTACAAAGGAGCAAGGCTTAATAGGTCTGCATAATACAACACTCTTAAAATGAATACAAATATCAAAAGCATTATACACTTGAAACTATACCTAAAAATCTTTTGAAAAGAATGACCTTAAGTACTGAAGTATTCATAATAGGATCATGTCTGGGTTTCACATATCTAAATAAAATCAATAAAACTAAAACAATTTCCCCCGACACTTCCAAGTTCAAAAATCTATGAATGTCTGAAATGGGTATGATGCTAAAATTTAAATGAGTTCTCCTTATGAAGTCACTAGCCAACTGATGAAGGAGGAGATTCTGTAGCACAAGAGCCAATGAGAGAAAATACCTGATCAAAGGTCCATGAAATATTTATTTAAAATATATTTCCCCCCATGAAAGGAGAACAATAGAGCAGGGATTCCATGTACAACCAAAGTCATACTATTAAAAGCCCACAAAGTTGTAAAATACTCACAGACACACAGGTACATTTGTCTCAGGGTCCAGCTGACATGTGCCACCATTGTAACAGTAGCCATCACATAACTGACAGCTAGAGGCAATCTTTCCATTGGTGCAGCTGCAACAACAAAGGAAAAGAAATCTCATCATTACTGGCATCATCATTGTTTAAAGCTGACACAAATTCTCCGCACATGATAATATTCATCTTAGAGGAGTCATGCAGGGGCTGGCCAAAAGTAAGTTTTCAGAAAGGCAGACTTGTTAAAGGCAAATATTTTTTAACAGAATAATGATAAAATTATTATTTTGGTAACTTTCAAATTTTCAACCCATTTGCTTTATATAAAAATTTAATTTAGCTAGATATATGTGTGAAAAAGATATACTCTAATTCCTATCACTTACACTTTGAGAAGATGTTATCTTCAGTATCTTATTCCCTTTTCCTATAACTAGAATTTGATGAGATCAGTGTGAATTATAAACCATATGATCATATACTCCGGAGGCAAATGCCTCATCTACTCCTTCTAATCTGGAAATCTAGTCCAAAGAATTATTAATAAGTTTTAGTTTTCATATTTTGTAAGAAAGTATAGGATTATGCTGTAGTCACATGTGTCCCACTGCATTTCTTTGAATATGTATTGCAATTAATGTAAACCTTTTTATTCTAACAACAACAAAAACAAAACAAAACACGGAGCAGTCCATTGCAAAAATAAATAGTACTGTTATAGGAACAATATGCAATATAGCAACAAAGTAATGAAGTATCCTTACATGGAATACTTATGGAAATGATTCTAACATATGGCATATTTACATGTCTGAGATAAGAATAAACTATGACTATTGCTACAGGGGGAAAACAAGTATGATAATAATAGGAAAAAACAAATTTCTTATTTGCCATGTTATATTTTTAAATTAACAAATAAGTACTATTAGGTTGGACATTAAAAATTGTTGGGGGAAACAGAAATAACTGCATTTGCATTCCAAATTTCCAAGGGACCTCTTCTATAAGAAGTATGGTAGTAGAATTATACAATCCTGGGACCAACTAAGAATTATAACACGTCCTGCCAATATTTTGATTGTGAGATCATGTTAGTACTAGGTGCTAGGAAGCAATCAGTGATATCACAATAAATCTAGACATAACCTTGACAAAGAAATCAGGCTGCAATATCATTGATTGATCACTTTGACCCTTTCCTTAATGGATATCTACTATAGTACATCCATCAAAGGTCAATTGCCAATGATAGGTTAGATGTCTGAAATATTGGTTAGCAATCCTGTAGTTCATTTATTTTGCGCATATTTGTTGGACTTCATGTGGTTGGCAGAGAAGCAAGAAATGGACTAAACTGCTTATAACTTTTTCTGGGTACTTAATTTAAAAATATTGTTAAGGACATGAATTTTAAAATCACATTTCTTTTTAAGATGAACAGAAGCAATGAGTGAACTGGAGATAAAGAAAGTGGGACCAAATATGGGGGGAGAGGCAGTGGTTTAAAGTTTCCAAGATTTAACAGAGACTGTCACATCCTTTATAATCTATGAAGGCATGCGAATACAAATTCACACATATTCAGTGGTATTGGTGTCTGTATGGTAAGTGGGTTGAGGAGGCTGTTCCTTGCTCTCCATGCCTACCCTCTTTAAAAATCAAAGAGCAGAAAGTTAGTTTCTTGTTCTGTCAAAGGTACAACATCAAAGAGAAAAATAGCTCATTATGCATGAAGTGATTTTCCATACGAAAGATAACTATACACCAAATACCAGCTTTTTAAACAAAAAAATGCATATTTATTCATTGCTCTTAAACTTCTGCTTCCACAAGTAATAAAAGACGTTGCCTCCTAAAGGTTTTTTTTAAATTCTCAATTAAAGACAGAAATTTGTACATATTTCAAATTAAAAACACAAATTATCCAAATCATTATAATGCATCAGAGTACAGTTCATTTTTTTAAAAACTTCAGCTGAGCATATTTTTTCATTGATTTTTAAAGAGAGGGGAAGAGATAGGGAAAGACAGAGAGAAATAATGTGAGAGAAACACATAGATTGATTGTGTCCTGAATACACCCCAACCAGGGCCTGGGCCAGGGAGGAGCCTGCAACCGAGGTACTTGTCCTTGACCAGAATGGAACCTGAGACCTTTGGTCCATAGGCCGATGCTCTATCCACTGAGTCAAACTGGCTAGGGCTAGTTCACATTTCTAATGCTAGTTTTTATCATAATTTTGTTTATTACAGACATATGTCTCACACACATGCACAGTTTGTGATATATCATTTTCCAAAAGTTAATTAATAGTTATCCTGTAGACGAAAATAATACCATAGTAATCAACATCAAAGGCATTGTGTAGACTACTAAATATTATGATAAAATCTTTCTTCATCAACATTTACTTAGATTTACAGAAGAGAAAAAAAATTCAATTAGCTCCATGTTATCTATATGCTCATTATACTTGACAGAGTATCTATTCTAATTGACAGTTCATAGGCTACACATTAGAAACACACCTATTAGGAATCACAAACATACATAGCAGCTGGAATTTTCCTACTTAAAAGATTTACGTTAACTCGTTTGTGCTTCTGTTTTAGTATCAGTTCTTTACATCTGAAACAAATTCCAATATCACTGTAAACTTCATTCACTGCTAAGATAAAGCATATCCTAGAAATGAAAACAAACCTGTCTAATAATTTCAGCATACCCGGAGTCCTGTTTGGCATGTACGTTTTATGGTCTATCTAATAAATCAAGTGTTATACTCCTACTTTTAAACTTCCACTATCTACTCATTGTTACCAACTATTATTTACCTATTTTTACATATATTTTTCTGAAAAAGATCTTTTAAGAGTCAGGAGCTATATGTTGAACCTCAATAGCCTACTTGAGTTATAAGGCTCATGTGTTTAGGTCGGCAGAGCCAAGTTCCCTGTAGAGCAGGCAGCACTGATGCCCTAGAGTCCTGCCCTCCCTTCCTCTCATGGAACTTCCCCACCTAACGGAGACAGAACATGTGACTCTGCCTGAGACTTTCTAAGGTAAACTGAGGGGGAACCTGCCTCACAGCCTGCCGTAGGTGAGGGCCATGGTTCCCTACGAGGATGAAATGGGTTGTGAAGAGGACTCTACAGCGCATTCCTGAGATGGTGCCCTGGACAGGAAGAAAGACACACGCCCGCTAATCGAACTAGAGTTCTGGCAGGCTAAAAGTCTCATCACAAAGAACTGACGGGCTTAATAAGTAAACACGATTTTGGCAGTTTATATGAAAATGCATTTTGCTTTTATGTACTTACCAAAGGCACATATTTGTAATTAGTCATATTTTCAATTACTTTACTTTAAAGAAAAAATAAGGTACTTTCACAAGAACCAATTAGAGCGTTTGCGTAAATGACATTCATGATGATAACACAAATCATATTTAGAGTAAATTCTAAAATGAGAGTAAATAAAAGAGAAAAATGTTGATGCTGTAGGTAATAAAATTTTATGGGGCCTTGTTTGGCAGAGCACCGTAACTCAGGGCTGGCGCCCTCGCACAGCTGTGGCGGCGGGAGCTGTGGCAGGAACACTCACGGCCTGCTTTTCTGTCTCATATCATCATTTATTAGCTCCTAAGCAAGGCAAGTGGTAGAGTCCAGTGCTTTATAAGTTCTTCTTTTAAAAGGTTGTTGAAAGAAGTTTGGAGTGAGGATTGACCTCTGACCTCAGTGGCATAAACTCGTTTCATGAAGAGACTGAATGACATTACCCTTTAGCTGTGATGATCTGTTTTCCATTCACTTGCCCTTGAAGCCAAAGGGCAAAAGATAATGTAACCAAAGTATAACTTGGACATTTTTGTTTTAGTTGCTCCCCAGGAAACATTATTCCTTTTCCTTATTTTTATGTTCAAAGTAAAAAACAACAACAAACAAAACAAAACAACAACAAAAACACATAATGTTTGTTTCCATTAGACAGGTCCTTTGCTTCTCCCCCAAAAGGATCGTTTTGTGACAACAGAGAGCCAATACTCACTGTAGAGAATAATAATGAAACAATTAAAAGCCTGAGCTATCCTAATTTAGGAATATTACATATAGCTTTCTGAAGGTATGTTGCATTTTACTATTTCTTGCTTACTATTATAAATATTCTATATAGGGAATGATCTGACCATATCATTACATGATTAATATTCATGTCCACAGGATGTGCATAACAGGTGTTGAATAATTTGATTTAATTTAAATGAACTGAACTTTATCTTCAGCAAAAAAAACCCCCACAAAAACACAAGGATGCAATAGTCACCATATTTTAGAATAAAAAGAATTTACATTGTTTTTACAGTTTTTTGCTGGACTGCTAAACCCTTTGGGTTAAAATACTTTAATAATTAATTGATGTCCACTTACTTGCAAGATATATCATCACTGTCTTTATTTATAACACAGTGCCCACCGTGGCATCTTATACATTTGTCAACCTCACATTTTGGTCCTTCATAGCGTGTTGGACAGACACAGTCAACGCTTCCGTCATTCCCAATAGTACAGGATTCAGAATTCACACAGTAGTGGTGACACACATCTACGAAGAATGCACAACAGAAAAATAAAATTATATTACAAGATATTTTTCTTCAGTGGCAATAAATGTTTCTATTTCATTTAATGTTAAAAGTCAGTTGATCAATATGTAGATTAATTTAACAAATCAGCTTGTAATAACATGGAACTAGAAATTTCTAATAATGCTATTGATTTGATTCCTCTTTTTGCCTGAGTTGGGAATCATTTCAGCTGGCTAAGGGGAAATGGGTTATATGGATATAATGCTAGCTGACAAACTCTTTGGTTTCTGAATTTTAAAGTTTAAGTCAACAGGTTCCTTAGCTTTCCTTCTGGGGAGCAATATTAGTATTCTTCTGAAATGAGCAGAAATGCTCAAGTTTTCTTAGATGTACCGCTTTTCATCCAGAGAACAGGGTGGTGTATGGTGAATAGGGGACTCCTCCCTCTGCACCAGGCCTTGGTGTGATGGAGAGAAGCCCCCTGGACACGTGCCAGAGCAGGCCCAGTGTTTTCTAAGACGTGGGCAGGTGGGCAGACAATAGGTGTGCCTCTGATGAAACGCCAAGGGAAAGTGGCCTGGGAAACTGGCTGGTCCATCATGGGTGGGAAAGGACAGTGTTACGTCTAGTCTATTGTCCCCTCCCAGGTGAGAACATAACCTGCCCATCAGGCAGAGGGAAAGCCGCCCTGGAGTCTGAGCTCTTTGCTTTGAAAGAAGTTCCTTAGTGAGCATTACAGACAATTCCCTCAACTACGAAGGAAGACGTCCTCAAATATTTATTCCCATACCTCTTTTTTTTATATACCTCCTGATCATGAGTAATAAAAACAAAGATCATTTAGTGTGATAGCCACACTAATTCTGTAATTAGACATTCAGCCTCCATCTTTTGAAAAGCAGACATGTCTACATGTATGTTTATGAATATATTAGAATTTATAACATTCAAAATGTTGACATTCACAATACAGATAATATTAAGCAAAGTAAATGATTAAATTGATACCAGAGTTTAGATTTGGAAGCAGCAATTTCCTTTTAGCTATCTAAATGTGAAGCAATGTTAAATGAGATTAGCTGAGATGAAAATCACAATTTACAAACTTTAACCTGCTCAAAGACAATTATAGTGGATGAGACAAATTAAAACATAATTTATTATTCTCATGTTTATATATTTATTTAGCCCTTTATTAAATCAGACAGAAATTAAATTTATTGACAGACTTGCTTCATATTTATGGAAATTTATTTCATGCAATCTCATGCTTTCTGTTGCATTATGCCAAGTACCCACATTGATATTCAATGCTTACAAGAGTCTATACTTAACATGAGTTTTAGCTATACTCAAGAAGAGTTATATATTCAAAAGTGAAAGAATTGGAGATCTAAAAGTTAAATCTGTTTATTTGTACACAACATGCATTCTGTTTGCATTTAAGAAGAATGTATTAGCAACAACCTATATGATCATCTAGTACTGTCTCCAATTCATGCAAAATTCTCTAAAGAACAATCATTGGTCAGATTTCTAGATAACTCTTATTTAGAAAGAACTCTAAGAGTCTATACTTAACATGAGTTTTAGCTATACTCAAGAAGAGTTATATATTCAAAAGTGAAAGAATTGGAGATCTAAAAGTTAAATCTGTTTATTTGTACACAACATGCATTCTGTTTGCATTTAAGAAGAATGTATTAGCAATAACCTATATGATCATCTAGTACTGTCTCCAATTCATGCAAAATTCTCTAAAGAACAATCATTGGTTAGATTTCTAGATAACTCTTATTTAGAAAGAACTCTTTTAAAAGTCCCCCAGTTGCTTTACATTTCATTATTTGGTCTTGGGTCAGCTGTCTATTGGAACACAGAAGTTGCCTAATGTATCTTTCCAAATCTTCATATAATTTTCTTTATTCAGAAGTTTACAAAATGTATTTCATCAGAATCATGTAGAGGACTTACTTGTAAGCACAGATTTCAGTGCCTTGCCCTATGTCCCACCACCGCCCACCCCTAGATTCTAATTCATAAATCTGAGATGAGGCCCAGGTGATTTCCATGGGGCAGATATTAGGGAACGAGAGTTTGGGAACTGGAGAGTGTAAGAAATGATGATATGGAGGTAATATTACAGTAGCAGAGAAACTACATTCTCTAATAGTTATAAATGATTTGATTTGACTTAAATAGATTATTTCTTGACTGACTTTGTGAGACTTAATTAAATGTAATTTTAAATCTAAAATCTTGAACCTCTTTGTTTTCATAACCACATTGCTGAGAAAACCTGAGAGACATTCTGAAGGTTGATGATTGCCCTATACCACACTATAGTAAGGAATAGTTTGCACTTGCCTATAGTGCTAAAGGGCAATAATAAAGACTTATCTACAATTCACCAATTATAAGTAATTTTTCTGCATAAATTAAATTTGTTTTAGAGTAAGCTTTAAAAGATGTGAAAATATACATAACTCGTAAGTAATCGAGGAAATAAAAATTAAAACTTCAAAAAATATCATTGCACACCCACCAAACTGACCACAAATAGCAAAAACTCTCATATATTGCTATGGGAACATAAATTGGTTCAACCAATGTGAAAAAGTGTTGAAAGTATTTACTAAATTTGAACACGCCAACATCTTATGACCTAGCATTTCTACTCTTAATATACAGCCAAGAGAAAAGTAAACATATGTGCACATAAACTTGTACATAATGTGCATAGCAATCTGTTTAGATAGAACTATCAAAAACCTGAAAATAATCCAAATGTTATCACAAGAAAGATGGATAAACTTTGGTTCACTCAAACAATGGAATAAAAATATAGATAGATAGATAGATAGATAGATAGATAGATAGATAGATAGAGAGATGATAGATGAAGTATGAAATATAAATGAGCCACACAAGAATAATACTGGAAGAAAAAACTGGACACAAAAATAATATACTACTTTTTATTTATATACACTTCAAGAGGCAAAACTAATCTATGGTTTTAGAAATAAAAAAGGAGATATAATTGGGAAAAGAAAAGGGGGAGTAAATAAAAGTGGTAGACTAAAGGAAGACAGGTTAGAAGATCACATAGCTGATAGGAGACATTTTATTGGAGGGGAAGGAATAGGGAAGGAATTGAAGACAGAAGAGAGGAATGGAAGATTGAAAAGAGTGCAGCCAGACTGGCCAGTAAGTGGCAGCAAGAACAAACAGTCTATGGAAAGGAAATTTATAAAAAGGAAAGCTGGTGGAACAACATGGTTGATTCTCATTTTGAACATGAGTAATTTAACCATGAGAAAAACATGGAAGCGGTGGATCCATAATTGATTATTTGCTGGGGACATGCATGTATTTAATTGGATGCAGGGAACTGTAGGAACAGTAAATATATATAAATATATATATATAGACAGGACATCAGCACTCAGAGAGCAGATGATCCAATTGAAAGGCTAAGACAAGGAAAAATCAAGAAACCAAAATCAGTCTGAATAATGTCCACTATGCCAAGAACCAGCATATTTTACTACCAACAAAACCGTCCTTCTTGTGGGACATTCCATCTCATAAATTTTGAGCATTTTCTCTCCCTGAATAGCATAACAATTGAGATGTCCTGCATATGAAAAGAAGGAGCAATAGTGAAATGTAATGAATCTGTGCTAAGGAAGTATAAATTACCATTAAATTATATAATAATACTTTATATTCACAATATAAAAATTATTATAACCTCTATAGGATAATTACACTAAAAGTTGTATACATAGTAGCAACAAACACAATCATGTAATCTAAAGAACAACACTGGATATGTAATTACAGAATATTCACATGGTAATTAAGTAGATGGAACTGGAGAATAAGTCAATGGCTATTTTCTGCAACAGAAATGAAGCACTTATCAAGGGAGATTACCATTGCACTCGGTCTCTCTCCGTTTCTCTCTTATTCTATCATTTCTTTTCAAGCAGCCAGACATGCATGCAAGGGCATACTTCCTTCGTTAATCTTCAAACAGTATCTTAATAGACTGCATAAAAATATATGCATGTACGAGTATACATACAGGTTTATGAATATTCATGGAGACACAGATGTCTATAAAATCTCTGGCTGCCTTTAACATTTTCCCCAAATATTTCTTTTTATTTAAAAGTAATTGCTAAGACTATTTAGCTATTAACTTATATTTGTAAATGGGCCATTCAATTGTAATCGTTTGTGAAGTGTGAAATTGATTTAAAGAGAAGAAAACCAAACTAAAATAATACTACCTAAACAGGAGCTGAAGAAACTCAGTAAGAATAATGGGGAACCTGAAGATTCTTTAACTGGTAATATAGAATGGTTATATTGGGGAGACTAAATTATACAACTACATGTATGTACCTCAATTGTTCTACTTCAGGGAATTTTGGCCTGGCCTTAAAAGAAAAAGTTCTGTGAATTGGCTTTAAGATTAATAATTTAAACAAGCCTTTGATTATTTAGTACTGCACACACACACACACACACACACACACGCCAATAAATAAACAGTAGAACTGATCACTTTCACAAAGAAGACTAGGTAAGCTCCACAGTGCATATCCCTAGACATCCCGGAACTGAACTCCAGTTTTAGTGCAATTCACACTCCAGGCTTCACTGTTACTTAGTTGTGTGCCAGGAGCAACAGGCCTATGAATTCTGCTAATATTCTTCCTTCATGAGGTGTATGGCTGCTTTTATGTATGTATGAAATGGAGAAGAATTTCTAAGACAGTATTTTATAAACTTTAGATGAATACTTATATCAGGGAGACATAATAAGAATAAGAGATAAACAAAAACATTGGTCAGAATATGAGGGATTTGGAAGTTAAATTTAGTCCTTTTTCTGACTAATGGTGTCATCTCATGTGACTTAACTTATGTCTCCAAGACACCCTTTCGTCATTTTTGAACAGAGGCTGTATTACTGAATATGCTTAAGAGTATATCATGACTC